CAGCGACGTCCTGTTTCCTTTTTCTTTGCAAATTAAACTGTGGTCCCACATTATAGCTTTTCTTTTATAGTGATAGCCTTATACTTTAATTTATTTACAGTATTTCCCCAAAACTGGTGTGCGAAATCAACGGTTTGGCACGGGAAAATGTTTATTTATTTATAAAATGTTGATTTATTTTTTATTTTTATTTTTATATCTAAATTAACTACCTATCAATAAAAAATTAAAACAAAAATGATGAGAGTCATAATAATCTATAAATTAAATTATCGACTGCTTATAATGAAATTTATGAGTAGATAATTTAATAAATGTAAATTAATTTAGAGGTTGACTTCAAATTTTAATATTAAATTTTTACTTTTATAAATCTCTCAATATCTTTATTTACAAGTAAACCCAACAAGTTTTAGTTTTATATAATTAATAAAACTCCACGTATAATAATTTCTAAGAAGATTATGAACTCCACACTTCAACTCCAACCCATGTAAAAAAAATGATAATTATGTAAGTTTTGTAAAATACAAAACATAGACTAAACAATAGTTGGTAAAAAAATATATATATATATATATATAAAAAAATATGATACACATTTTGAATTTACTCTTCTCATTTATGAATTCTTACATATTGACACTATTATTAATTGAAAAATCATACAAATGCCTCACTTTGAAAATGGGTTAGAGATAGGTTGAAAATAATATATTTTTATAATAAAAAAATCAAAATATACAAATTTACAAATAAAAATAATAATATAATATTCATCAACAATTAAATGAATTTTATTATAGTTATTTTATTTTATCTCATTTATTTATTTTGATTCATATCCGCCATCAAACTTTGAATTTCACAAAAACAACGCCGTCTTACTACATTTGCCAAACCAATTTTCGAATTTATCAATCTCTCTCTGTTAGCACCATAAATCTGCAATTTTTATTATTATTTATTATTATTTATATAATTGCAGGACACGTGGCATCCTCTTATTCATTTGGAAGTTAAAAGGAGTTATAGAGATAATGGAGAATATGAAGGACAAAGTGGATGAGTGGGAGGACAAAGTGGATGAGTGGAAGGACACATGGCAAGACAAGAATGAAGATGGAAGAAATGGGTAGTTACTAAGTGGTTATTGCTGTATTTTTTCTTCTATAAATAGCCATTAATGGCTACATTGTAAAAGATCCAGAATTCATAATCAAAGACGCTTGATTTCAATATTTCTTGTCATTTTCCTTATCTTAGGAGTAGTTTAACATAGATTTATATTTCGAAGCATTTATTTCCAGCACTTTTATTTCGAAGCATTTCATGCACTTCCTTTTCGAAGCATAGGAGTAGAGGTAAGTAATTATTACTTCGATTGTTCACTCAATCGTCTTTCTCCGTCCCTCTTTCTTCTTTTGCTTTTTATTTTCGCTACACTTGGCAAATTTGAAGTCCTCTTCGTTGAGGCAACAGAACCGTCAACACAATCGCTTGATAATTGGCTTGAATTTAATCTGTAAGGATTTTTCAATCCTTGCTGGCACGCTCGCATTTATGATATTTTCCTTCGAAAAGCCAAAAAGCCAACACTCTCGTTAATATGTCTATTCATTTGACAGAGTTGAGATCTTCTACATTATATCATTTAACAATTGTTAAATAATTATGAAAATTTGTTAATATTTTTAGTTTATAAAAAATAATTATAAATTATTAAATAATAGAATTAAAATCCTCCATTACAACTTTAAAATAGTAAATGATTAGAATTCTATTTGGGACTTGTACTATAGTCAGATAAAGTCCATATATTCTCCTTTTTTTCACAAGTTAATATATTATTGAGGAAAATAGTGAGCACGTAGGTGTATTGAGAGTGTTATTAAAATTTTGGAATAATAATCGGTTTGGTTGAGTGAGAGAATTATTATTACAATGAAATTGGATGAATTGAGTAATTAAGAGAATTATTAGTGTAATGATATTAGAATAAACATGTAGAATAAATTATGTTTGTTTGTATAATTTTATAAACGATATTAGTTGAGTGCAGCTATTAGCACCTCAATTAATATTTTGAACCCCTATTTATTTCATTTTTTAATTACAATAATAATCTCAATTGAAACTATTAAAAATGACATAAATTATTTTTGAACACCCTATCTTAGTATTTAACTCACCCATCCACTCACTAATAAATGATAACATAAATTTTTTTTTAGAGTACTCACCTTTATTACCACCCACTTCAAAATCCTCAAAACCTTCAAAATCCTTTAACGGCTAGACTTCCTGTAGCTTCCAGTGCAATGGCAACAACGACAACTATTCAACAATACACATTTCTCCAATAATGGCGATGAGTGAAGTTTTTTAGACAACTCCAATATCGTGAGACAAATAGAGCATCACATGTAAGCTCAGAAAAAGTTCATAGCTTGAATGATGCTCGCAGCTCAAAAGAAGTTGACCTTATAATGATAAGTATTTTTTTGAAAACACAAAAAAAAAAATGATAAAAACAGTTTGAATTTTTTTCAGTACTGAACTCCCAAACATATACAAAAAAATGGCTACACAGTGTTGAATTAAAAGCATTACTTCGGCAATGTCTAATTAAACATTATTCATATGATAGGTATTTTGGATCCGATTGTTTTTTATTCATATATTCGGCATTTTAAATGTAACCTTAATGCATACTTATATTTTGTTATGTGATGAATTTTAGTTTTATTTATTAATCAAACTAGTTGATGCATATTTATCTTTGTTTGTAAAAATTTGATGGGCCAAGCTTGTTCACAAACAAATGACTTTACGATTTTATAATGTTTAACATAGGTCCGAATATGGGTAATTTGTTCGGCAACACAAGTCCGAACATGGCAACGGAGAGATTGACGACAAAGAGAGGTTAACGATGACTGAGATTGACGGCGAGCGATTAACAGTGCAACTCTCTCGACAGTAAGAGTAAGCTTGGTGACTTCAATGGTGAGGGGAAGATTAATGAGCTCAACTGTTAAGTGTTTTGGGAGATGAAAAGTGCTAATAATAACACTCTATTAGTTGATTGAGATTAAAATTTTAAAATTACATAAAAGCCCTTATTATACAGAAGCTTCTTTTATTATTTTTGTAAAGTGAGGGATAAACTAGTACTTTCACCTCCAATCTCATAAGATTAAATTTCAATACCACCTCTCACATAAGATTTTTAGTCCCCTTCTTAGAAGGCTTTCATAATCCCATAGTAATTTTTTAAAATAAACATAATTTTTGTGAACCCAACTCGTCACCATAATCCGCTTCTCCACCTAATTCTCACTACAAGAAAAGTGGGCTTAAAAAACAGAAGCATTTGTGACGACATACTTGCCATCTCAACTAGTGGCTTTTTGCGACAACACAACTTGTTGTCGTGAAAAATGTGAGTATTTGTGACGGCAGAAATGCTATCGCAAAAAAGAAGAGTATTTACAATGGCAGAAATTGTTGTTGCAAAAAAAATGAGAGTATTTGCGATGGTAGAGATTGTTGTCGCAAAAAAAGAAAGTTTTTGCGATGGCACCAGTTGCAGTCGCAAAAAAGAAGAAGAGTTTTTTGTGATTGTAATAGGTACCGTTGCCAAAAAAAAAATTAAAAAAAACAATTATGGCTTTGAGACGGTTTCATATATATACAGTCACCAAATGGTTTGAATAAATGCAACGGTATTTTTTTGTTGCAATTTTTTTTTTAAAAAACGATATCGTCTTACTCTTTTGATATATCATTTCTCTTTTACCCATTTTTTCATCTTCCTGTCTCTCTGTCTTTGTCTCTGTCTCTGTCTTTGTTTCTGTTTCTGTCTTTGTCTCTGTCTCTCTCACTCATCACTCTTCTCTCTCTATCTGTCTGTCTCTGTCTCTCTGTCTCTCTTTTTCTCTGTGTCTCTCGTTTATCTCTCATATCTCTTTTCTCTTTGTCTGTCTCATTCATCTCTCTTCTGTCTATCTCTGTCTCTCTCGCTCATCTCTTTTCTCTCTCTATCTCTTTCTCGTTCATCTTTTTTTGCTCCCTTTGTCTATCTCTCACTCATCCCTTGTTTCTCTCTCCTTTTTCTGTCTCTCTCTCTTTATCTTTTTCTCTGTCTCTGTCTCTCACTCATCACTCTTCTCTCTCTCTTTCTTTCTCTGTCTGCCTGTCTGTCTGTCTATCTGTCTCTCTCTCTCTCCTCCACTGTGTTTGCCTTACTTACTCTTTCCTTAATCTCTTTTCTATTTACCGAGCTCTCTCTCAATTTATCGATCCACTACAAGAAAATGCACTTTTAGCGACCACTTTGTCTCTCTCTCGCTCATCACTCTGTCTATGTCTCTCTCTCTCTCTCTCTCTCTCTCTCATCTCTCTCTCTCACCACCTTCACCACTACTGCAAATGCCATTCCACTACCACTACTACTACCATTGTTGCCACTTCACCTTTACGACCATCATTACTACCACTATCGCCACCACTTCACTACAACTACCACCACTATTGCCACTATTACCATTACCTCTCTTCTACTACCGCTACTCCATCTCCTCTACGACTACCACAACTTCATCACTAATCTACTTGGCTATCACCACCACCACCATTACCTCTTATCCACCACCTTCACCACTACTGCCGCTCCCTCTCCTCTACCACAAAAAATTAGTTTCTGATTTTTAGTAACCAAAAAAAAATGGGCCGCAGAAAAATATTTTTCATTGACTACAAAAAATTAACTTTATTTTAATGGAAAATATTTTTCATTAAAATATTATCCTTACTTCTACCAAATAAAAAAATAATAATTTTTTTTTCATTAAAATAAAAATGAAACAAATAAATTTTCAACCTTAGTAACCTAAAAAAAAATGAAAAAAAAAAATTCATTAACTACAAAAAAATAAATTTATTTTAACAATAAATACATAAAACAACGTTGTTCATACCGCCTATCCTAACTCCCATTTTCTTTTCTTCTTTTCCTTTTTGTTTTCCCGTCATTTCTATCTGAATTCCCCTATTTCTTTTCCTCCTTTTGTTTCTTACGATCTCAAATCCCTAATACCCAATCCCTTAAACAAAAAATCCCCAAAATACGATACTATCTCTCTCTCTTTCACGACTGCAAATAGCGACAGTGGCAGTAGCAGCAACAAGGAGGGACGACAACGAGCAGCAAGCAACGATGGTGAGCAGCGAGTGACGACAGCTAGCAGCGGCGACTACCACTGCCGTCGCCACCACCTCCTCCCTCACCGCCCTCTCTCTCTTCTTTTATTCTTTTCACTGATCTTCATCGGTCGTCTACTTCGTCTTCTCCACTCTCGTCATCGGTTCCAAAACCCCAACCATACCTTTAATCTTCTTCAATCCCTCCACAACCCATATGTTCGAATCCAGAGCCTACACTTCCCTCAACTGTTTCAGAACTTTTCTTTACATAGGACTACCACTGGACTCGTCAGAATGGCAATCTCGAACAGGCTGATTGCGATGAGAAAGATCAGGCGGCGAGGCACATTAATGCGTCAGAAATGAAATCGAAAGATGGATAGTTCATCTGTGCCCTAATTTTTCTCTCAATTTCTGTTCAAATGTAAGTATGATATAGTCATCTTCAATGTGGGTTTCTTGGGTTACTGGTATTGGTCTTAACTGTGCTCTTTATGTGTTTGTTTAATTGACTGAATGGTGTGTTTGTTGAATTGGGTTTGTTTTGATTGGTTTGGTTTTCAGGGGATTCTCAGATTGGTCTTAATGTGATTTCCCTTGCACCTCATTCAGGTTGCACAACAGAAGTTATCTTAATTGAGGCCTATCTGCAGAAAACTAGAGAAGAGAAACAAACGAAGGTTTCTTCACAATTATGTTCACCTAAGGTTTGGGTTTCATGGTCCCCATTCTTGGGCAAGTTTTCTTTGTGATTTATAGATTGATTATAGGTTTATAGCCATTGAATATGCCCACACAGTGTTTGTGAATATGTTCATAAGAGAACCTGCATGCTTACGTCTTTGGATATTAGCTATCTGTGTTAGGTATACAATATATACCTGAACAAAATTGCTGGATTTGTAGATTTAAAGACGCTGCAATAAATTAAAAAAACAAAGCATTGAATTGATGTGGTTGATAGTAATTGTCGTGAGATAGCTAGTGAACTATGAAATAGACCTGGTGAATCTGTTCCGTCCATGTTTTGGTTTTACAAACAAGACACATAAACTAAAATAAGCATTTCAAACTATACACAGTGGTATATCTAAACCACTAGTTACATTTGTTTAGCCAAATCTGTCAAAACTAAAATAACTAATTTGATGGAAATACTCTAACAATATTTAGAAAATCAACAATCACAGGCCGAGAAATTAATCACCAAACTCAAGCCCAATATCCACTACTAACCAAGTACAATTCTATTTCGATAATTTATATCGTTCATTTTGTAGGGTCTTTTCTGTGTATCATCTATAAAAAAAAAGTAAGTCAATCCGATAATTGTAACATTTTCATTTTATCATGTTTGTCTTAAAAAAAAATAGATGGTCTATTTTAAAAAATTGAATACTTAGTTGATTTAAACCTTACTACATGCTATATGAACATTTTAGAATAGACATGAAGTATGTTAGCAAAGAAGGAAAAAAGGAAGGGCCCCAAAGGCTTATATATTTACAATATCCATACATTTTCCTCAATCCATACTCTCCAAATCTGAAATCCAGTCCCAAGGTATATGCATAACATTTAGTCTGTGCTACCCTTATGGTGATCGTTTACATTTCTTCAACTCATTGCGATGTCAGATTGAACTTTTGGATTGTGATTGGCTTATGATCATTCACTCCATTGGATCTGCATACTTACATGAATACATATTGGTTTAATTTTCATGTTACTGGATCTTATATGTGAGAGAGAAATCGTTTTCATTGTCTATGTTAGATTATGCATTATAGAGTTCTTTGCATTAATATGTTTAATTTATGCCATGATTTGATATATTGATCAATGTTTTCGTTTATGTAATCTATACAAATGAGTGAATTTGTTTTTGAAAGAATAGAGGTGCTTGTTAGTTTGAACTTGGCTTTGTACTGTATTGTCTTTTTCCTATTTATTGAACTTGAATTTGAATTTGAATTTGGTATAATTTATAATTTTGTGATAGAAGTATGTGTTTTTCTGTGATGGATTGTGTTTGTATTGAAGTTGTAGTCTCATATTCAAGCTCTTGCACATGTTGCAATTAAATTATGGTTAATCTTTTTTCATTGTCTTGTAAGAATGTATTTTATGGTTGCCGTTATTCCTTTCTTTGTCAAATGTGAATGATTATTGTTTCCCTTGTCTCATAAGTGTTGATGTGTTGGTTCATTGTCTTCTGTTTGGTAATCGAGAAACTAGAGAACCTCCAGGAAAAGGTTTAATTTTTCAATTAAGAAAATATTTAACTCTTTTATATGATTTTGTGGCCAGCATTAAGCTAATAGTTGGCTATTTTAGTTGGTTTTTTTGGCTTGGTTCTTAGTTCACAAATTGGGTAAGAATGAACAGGTAAATTCACGGCTTGGGAATTTATGAGCCTCTTTTCCTATTAACACCTTTTGATTCAAAGTTTTTCATTGACCTTGTTGCTTTGTTTTCTGCCTAACTAACAGTGTTCATTTCCTGTTTACTGAATGATCATTAGTTTTGAAATTACTAATCCTATTGATTGTTAAATTATATTGGGTGTGAGATTCAGATTATCTCTATTACATAGTTGTAATGGAAGATTTCCAATTCGTATGTTTAGAGAAGTTTCTCATTAATTTGTAACACCTTATTTACCAATTTGGGTGAAGCCAATTTTAGTAAAAATGCATTTCTATCAATCTATTGTTGAACCTGCAAAAGAAACTATAAACATGCCAACATAATTTATAGAATTGGCATGTTAGCAGTGTTGTGGGTTATCAAGTTTTATCGAAATAGTAAGATGCTATGCTATTTCACAAACATCTGGAATTCATCACCCATTTGTTGTATGCAATAGTATAATGTGATATATCCGATTAAATTTTCCAGAGAAACTTCACTGTTTAAGACAACTAGCAGAATGAAATTAAAATACCAAGGAATACTCATAAATAATTGAATTTCTTACCTCATCCTGTAAGAAAACTTTTTTTCCTTCCTCTTCCCAATCTTTAGTCTTGGCTATCAGTAGGTTCACCAAAGCTGCAAGAAAATCATTGTATGGATACATACTACTTATGGTTTAGAGTTGACAGAGTTCGTTGTAAAACTAGTTTTGGGGAACAGTATATTGGTCTTTTTTCACGCTAACTGATTACCTAATTAAAATATTTAATATTTTATAGAGTTATATTTGCATTTTCTAGGTTACTTTGTATCTTATTCAAAAATGTTACTTGTCTTTGACGTGATCAAGTCCAAAGGAAGTTGCTATGTTCTGTGATGATCATCAACGAATCCATTCCCAACGTGACAGACAAGTTCTGAATTGTGCTTATATATTTTTCCACTCTTTGGAGTCTGTCATTCTTTGACATCAATTGAAGAGAAAACAAAAAGGGAAACAAGAAAAAAAGGCATTACTTGATGCACATATTCAATTTAAGTATTCACTAAACAATTTGTTAATTATTGTTATAGTACCTTCTCTTTTATGCAGCCTTTTTACCCCGAATTGGTACTCATCGAGTTTTTTCTGTGAAAGATCATTCTCATTTACTTTGATTTTTGATGATGAATCGTCGTATTCTGATTGACCTGCTATTTCTGCAGAAATTTTCTGAATTTGCTTTTGCATAGCTTGGAATTGCTTCACATTCTCTTCTTTCCTCAGTTGCATTTCCCGTAGAGCTGGGGTAATTGAATCTAGCTGCTCCTTTAATGTTCCTATCATTTTCTCTAGCTGTTGATGATAAAATGTTCCGAATTAGCATCATTCCAGAATTGTTACTTGATTTAATTACGCTTATTATTAATTAAGTTTCACATAACTCCAATATACTTGTTTGTACCAAATCTTTCTATATATCTTCATAGCACAATATGTGTTGAAATATTATGGCTGTTCAAATTTGATTAATGTTTTGGGTCATTAGCTTTGTTTTATAACATAGTATAGGCTTTTTGAAAAGGCACATAAAAAGTACTAAGTAAATACTGAAGCGTAGGATTCTAAGGAAGCACAAATACTTTAGGATTCCAGATCTTAGTGATCTCATAACAATTCCATAGGTAAAAATGGAATTTGTTTTTCTTGTTACAAACCTTATAAATGAACTCTTAAGTGACACCAATTGGGCCTTATAGTGTAATAACCTTCGCTACTGTTTACCGATAAACTACTGATTACCGTTAAACCGAACTGATTATGACTGATAAGTGACTGAATGAACTACTGAACTGACTGACTGAAATTTGAAACTGATTGATTGAATGTATCTGTCTGAATTGTAATTCTATCTGTTTGACTGTTTGATTATTTGTTCATGTTTTTATATTTAAATTGCAAATTGAAGGCTTTATTGGCGGCCGAATCCGAAATTGATTGATGATTTATGATCATCGTAATTTATGTGATTTTACGGTATATTCATCTGAAAACTGATTAGGTATGATTAAATTAGATTAAAATGAGTTTAATTGCAATAGTCGGCTTAATTACAACCTTGCCATCCCTAGTGGATCACTTAGGCAACATTTTGAGACTTGTGTATACACATTGAATCAACATTTCTTCTCCCATTTCTTGCACACAACCGACTTGAGAGAGAGAGAGGGAGTTAGTTTCATCTCATTTGGCTTGGTTTGCTTGGAAATTGAGTAGATTGGAAGGATTCTTGCATAATTGTAGCTCTAGACTTGCCTTTCAAGCTTTAGGTAAGGAGTTCAACCTTTTGACTGTGGAATTTAAGTTCATTCTTGCATGATTCATGCTTAATTGAAGAGTTGAGTCAAGTTTTGGTCTTAAAGTGTGGTATTAGAACTCCATTGTTGCATGCATGTGTATATTGTAGAATTTCAAGTTGTTTTCATGGAGAATTGCCGCATGCATGCTCATGGTTATGTTAAGTCCATGTTTTCATCTTATTTTTGGAACAATTGGCTCCTTAGAGCATAAAATTGAAGCTTCGAATTAGTTTGAATTCATGCATGTTTGCATGTTCTCCATATTCATGAAATTGGTTTGAATTGGATTTATTTGAAACACCCTTGGGCTTTGATTTTACAAATTAAGTTTTGAATCATGTTAAAGTATGAGTTTTGATGTGTTTTCTGGAAAATTGGCCCAAGAGGATCGAAATTATGGTTTGAAAACTTGGTTTTGAGCTTGAGGTTCAAATATGGAATTTCCAGAATTTGGACTCACGCTCGAGCGGGGTGACTGGCGCTCGAGCGTAGAAATCGTGCTCTCAGCATTTTTGTTCTGTTTTAAAGTCCGCTCGAGCGGATTACTTGACGCTCGAGCGGGACATTGTGTCTCATACTCGAGCGGGTGTCGAGCGCCCAATCGAGTATGATTTTCACCTTTCCAGCACTTTTGACTGTTTTGCAGAACGCTCAAGCGGGTAAGTATATGCTCGAGCGGAAACCCTTGTCTGCATGTCCGCTCGAGCGGAGTAACCTACGCTCGAGCGTGACCCCTGTTTTCCGAAAATTCTGAAAATACTTTTTCAAGTGCAACTTTACATCCTCATCTCATTCTAGGCATTCTTAGACCTAGTTTAAGACATCTTGTTAAGGATATAGATGTAGAACACACCGAGCAATCAGGGGTTAAATTTTATTATCTCTCCGATTTGATACTTAGTGTGTGTTTCAATCTGTTAAACTGTGTAGGATTGGCTTTCAAAGGAACAGCGGCTTCTAGCTTACTGTAGCCCAGAACTCTGTGAGTAACGATTGTGTAAAGATATGTTCAAAAATGATTATTTTCTGAACAACTGAACTGTACTGTTTCTGAATTGAATACTGTTAATTGAATGAATGTATGTCCTATATTCTGAACTGTATTGTGGCATCCTTAGCACCTACTGTTTACTGACACTGTTACAGAGATCTCTGTCGGTTCCCTTGTTGGAACCACTACTGTTTACTGACTGATGGCCATCACTACTGTTCGGTCTTGTAAGACCTACTGTTTACTGTACTGTTATGCTAATGGATGTACCACATATGACTGTACTGACTGAACAACTGAAATACTGAATCAATGAACTATTTTTATTACTGTAAGGACATTCATTCTTAACCCATTTACGCATTATGTTATTCACTGGGCTTTAGCTCACTGCTCATATATATATATATGTAGGTGTACAGGTACCAGAACGCAGCTAGAAGCGTCAGAGTAGACTCCTGTTTTGTCAAGCCAACCTATGTGCCTCACTGCGAGGTTCCAAGCTTGCCATGCTACGGCTTAGGGCTCTTTTATTTCCCCCTTCTGTCTCTGTATCTGTTTTGTGAACTGTATAGGCTGATAGCACTGTACTGTACTACTCTATAAGGGATTGAGTCCCTATTCGGAATGAATGTAAATATTGTACATACTGCTCTTTACTGTTTACGTATATATGTATGAAAAGTCTTTTTGCATACAGACTGTCAAAGCTTATTGGACATTATTTATTTACTGTATTGGCTTCCGCCAAGCCCTGTACTCTGTTTTACTGTATTACTGTTAAGCAGGCCTTCGGTAATCTTGGATTACTGGCCGGTTACGTTGTACCAAATCTTTCTATATATCTTCATAGCACAATATGTGTTGAAATATTATGGCTGTTCAAATTTGATTAATGTTTTGGGCCATTAGCTTTGTTTTATAACATAGTATAGGCAAAAGGTCCAACTTTTTGAAAAGGCACATAAAAAGTACTAAGTAAATACTGAAGCGTAGGATTCTAAGGAGGCACAAATACTTTAGGATTCCAGATCTTAGTGATCTCATAACAATTCCATAGGTAAAAATGGAATTTGTTTTTCTTCTTACAAACCTTATAAATGAACTCTTAAGTGACACCAATTGGGCCTTATAGATAGATGAAGAAAATTTTTACCGCAATATTGGCATTTGATACCGCGCTTGTTTGTAACTATTTTCATATTTTTTGTACTCACAAGTATGCAAATTATCGGTCTAGGCAAACTAGTTCCTTAAGAAACTTAGAATTCGAGGTGTTGATGCCCCAAAATCACCAAACAACGTCAGATTAACACGAAACTTGGCACACTTGACCACCTAAGCACGAGAGACTTCTAGGAGAAGACAGGACTCGAATCAGGTTCCCGGTTTGAGAGTTAGAGTCGGATTTCAGTCTAGGCAAACTAGTTTTTTAAGAAACTTAGAATTCGAGGGGTTGATGCCCTAAAATCACCAAACGACGTTGGATTAGCATGAAACTTGGCACACGCGACCGCCTAGGAATGAGAGACTTGTGGGGAAAAATAGGACTCGAATCGGGTTCCCAGTTTGGGAGTTAGAGCTGGATTTCAGTCTAGGCAAACTAGTTTCTTAAGAAACTTAGAATTTGAGGTGTTGATGCCCCAAATTCATCAAACGACGTCAGATTAGCACGAAAATTGGCACACACGAATGCCTAGGCATGACAGACTTGTAGGAGAAGGCGGGACTCGAATTGGGTTCCCGATTTAGGAGTTATAGCTGGATTTCGATTTAGGCAAATTAGTTCTTTAAGAAACTTAGAATTCAAGGTGTTAGCTCCCCAAAATCACCAAACGGTGTCGGATTAGCACAAACTTGACACACATGACCGCCTTGGCACGAGAGACTTGTGGGAGAAAACAGACTAGAATCGGGTTCCCAGTTTGGGAGTTAGAGCCGGATCTCGATTTAGTCAAACTAGTTTCTCACGAAACTTTGAATTTGAGGTGCTGATACCCCAAAATCACCAAACGGGGTTGGATTAGCACGAAACTTGGCACACACGACCAACTAGGCATGAGAGACTTGTGGGAGAAGACGAGACTTGAATCGGGTTCTTGGTTTAGGAGTTAGAGTCGGATTTCGATCTAGTCAAACTAGTTTCTCAAGAAACTTTGAATTCGAGGTGTTGATGCCCCAAAATCACCAAACGGGGTCGGATTAGCACGAAACTTGGCACACATGATCGCCTAGGCACGAGAGACTTGTGGGAGAAGACGACACTCAAATCGAGTTCTCGGTTTGGGAGTTAGAGCCAGATTTCGGTCTAAGCAAACTAGTTCCTTAAGAAACTTAGAATTCAAGGTGTTGACATCCCAAAATCACCAAACGGCATCGAATTAGCACAAAACTTGGCAAACATGACCGCCTTGGCACGAGAGACTTGTGGGAGAAGATGAGACTCGAATCAGATTTCCAATTTAGGAGTTAGAGTCGGATCTTGGTCTAGGCAAAATTATTTACTTAATTATCTTTGTAATTGTATAGTAGTTAAATTTTTATGTTTTTTTGTAATTAACATATTAACACATAATTATATTGTCATTAATTATTTTTGTTTTTGTTTTCAGATATTTCCCAAGTAGGAGTTTGTTTCTTGTGGAATGCATGCCCTTGAAGAATGCGACTACCTATTGTTTTTGTAACCTAATGAGAATGATGAGAAAAACTTTTGTTTTTGGTTTATGTTATTTTGAATTGTGAACAATATTATGTATTTAAACATTATATATGTATTTTGGAACATTGTGTAGTTGGGTAATTTTGTTGATGTGTAATTATGAATGCAAGAATATTTTTATTATGGAGAAATTGTTATTTCTAGACAGGAATTTTTATATTATTATGCAATTATTGGTTTCTTTTTTAATTTTTTTATTTAATACAGGTAATTTTAATATTTTTAATAATTTTATTATAGTTTTTTTTTTTGGCACCACACCGTCGCAAAAAACATTAGAACTAAAATGTATTTTTTTTGGCGACATAGGTAATGCCGTTGCAAAAAAAAATTGGCGATAGAGGTCATGCCGTTGCAATAAAAAACATTTTGCGACAGTAGTTTTTTTGCTGTCTCAAATAAAACTTTTAGCGATGGTACAACATTGTTGTTGCAAAATATCTCATTTTTTTACATATTATAGGCGATAGTAAAATACCGTCGCAAAAGGCAACATTTTCCGTCGCAAAAAAAAATGCGACGACATCATGCTGTTGTTGAAACGTTTTAACAACGCTCTCTGTTGTGACCCCCCTTTACTGTCGGTCGCTAAAATTTTTTTGAGACGACATTAAGAGTATTAGCGACGGCATTTTGTCGTCGCAAAAAACTTAAATTTTTGTAGTGTCTTTTGTATGGAGCATATTGTTGGGCTTCACTAGGCTTGCCATGGACCTATTTTCAGAGTTAATTATGAAAATGTCCAATTTAACCCTATTTGTAGATAGGGTGTCAAACGAATTGAATTGTTCATATATAGTTTGAGCTCGGTTCGTTTAAAACTCATTTGAGCTCGATTTATTTACTAAATGACCGAGATCGAGCTCAATTTTTAGGCTCGTTTATTAATCGAGTCGAGCTCAAGTAGCCTTAAGCTCGGCTCGATAAGGCTTGTGAACATAAAAATAAATAAATTAATATATTATTTTTAATAATATAATAAATAAATTTTCAATAATTTATTTTATCTTTTATTTATGTTTGGTGGTTGTGTAAATTTACATATTTGATTGATGAAATTTATTATTAATATAAGTATTATTATAAATTTTACTCATAATTTTGTATTTTTTTATCTTAATAAGTAAATTAATTTAAATTTATTCTTTTTCAAGCTCGAGCTCGAACTCGAACTCGAACTCGAACTCGGCTCGTTTATGTAATCGAGTGAGCTCGAGCTCAACAAATAGTTGACGAGCCGAGCTCGAGTTTGATTTTTGAAGATTGAATAGAGTTCGGTTCGAGCTCGATTAATTCTTAATAAACGAGTTTGAACATTAAAAAATTCGACTAGGCTCGGCTCATTTGCAGTCCTATTTGTGGGTCACTATGATTTGTTTTTATTTTTGCTCAGTAGTAAAATTTAGGAATTTATCTCTTATTGGCTTTTCCTACCAGAATCTAGTGTGGCCTCTCGTTTGGGAATTAACTATTTTAGTTAATTTTTTATAAAAATTTATACAAAAAAATAGAGAGACTGATGTAATAATTTATAATGATTTTTATTTTTTATTTTTTGTTTAAAAAGCCAACTCTCCAAATGGAGAATTGTTGAACTTGTATGGTCATCTATTCAAAAAATTAAATTTGACTAGACAATCATAGACACATAATTAAATTATTTTTATTTTCAAAATAATAAATAGTAGGGCTATGTAGAGGATCCACCGACCCGCCACACCCAACTGACCCGACCAGACCCGACCCCCAACGGATGGATGCGTGCCACGTGGCGGGTGGATGCGGGCCTGATTTATGGCATTTTTCGGGTTCGGATCGGGTGGCGGGTAATCTGCCATTTTAGTCACCAGACCCGACCTGACCACCATTGGCTCTTTTTTTATTTATTTTCGGCTAATATATGCCTCATTTCCCCCCATTTTCCTTTCTGATATGCATCCACCTCCATTTGCCCTAATTTTCCAAGACAACCATTCTCATTCTCTCTCTCTCTCTCTCTCTCTCTACCCTACCCATCGTCAGATGATCTACACGGCGTCGGCGATCGATCTACACGGCGTCGACGATCGATCTACACTACTTACTGACTGAGGTATCTCTCTCTTTCTCTCTCTCTCTGCTTTCCTCTTTTTCTGATCTGAGTCTAATCTGTTTTTTTTTTTTTTTTTCCAGTTCTAAAACGAAATAGATGGTTAGATTGATCGATCTACAGTCTACTACACTCACTGACTGTAACTGAGTTACTGAGGTACCTCTCTCTCTCTCCTTCTTCTTCTTCTTAACTGTTTTTTTTTTGGTTCCAGTTCTAAACTTCTAATCTTTTAGAGTCTAATCTATTATTATTATTTTGTTTTGTTCCAGTTCTAAAACTAGAGACGTGGTTAGATTGATTGACACAGTGTTAACTGTTAAGGGTTCTACAGAGAAAGGAATACAGAGAGAAAACCACAGAGAGGTTTGGTTTATTATCTGTTTTGTTATTATCAGATTGATTGAACAATCTGTTCTAAACCAAATTGATTCCAGTTCTAAACCAGATTGATTGAACAATCTGTTTTGTTATTATCAGCCTTTTATTTTATTCTTACTTCTATTATCTTTTAAAATGCTAACATAAATATAACAAATTTTATGATATAAATCAATAATTATCAAGTTGAGATATAATATGGATTTGACGTAGGACTGGTAAATAATTTCTTGATCTTGACAATATTAAAAGGGAGGAATAGGTTTAAAGTGAAGTTTTTATGTCAGAAAAATATCTCTAATACTTGAGTTAACTTTAATTGAGACTGTGGAAGTATGGGCAAAACATTTTAAGGTTAAACATTCTTTCAAACATTGAGACATAATTTACTGGTTTAAACAAGAAGAGTAATGAATTGTTTGAGATTACTTAGAAAAATTAACGAGATTTAAAAACATG